AAAATCAAGGTCAAGGCCTAAGTTTAAAATCGACAGCTTGACGTAAACTAACTCTCAGTCCAAGTAAATGGGATCATGAAGTTCGATTGATTCCACTGTGCCTCTCTACACACTACCCTCTTTATAAGGTTTAAGTCGCTATCCATTGACCTTGGACAGTTATCCAGTCTTGTAATCTTGCATCTCTATTACACCGTAAGGTGTAACAAAAATAACCATGTATGGACCTTCCCAACGTGACTTTAACTTTCCAGGAAAAAGTTTCAGTTGTGTATTAAACAACTAAACCTTCTTCCCAGGTTTAAAAGTCTTATGCAAGATATCCTTCTCATGAAATGCTTTAGTCTTTAATTTGTAAACCTTAGCACTTTCATAAGCATCATTAGGTAATTCTTTAATCTCCGTTAGTTGAAGCTTCTTGTTAGAACTAGCAAATGCCATATCAAAGTTGTGCTTTTTTATTGCCCTGACAGCTCTGTGTTCTAACTCTACAGGAAGATGGAACCCTTTACCATAGACAAGATGGTAAGATAACATACGAATCGGAGTCTTATAAGTAATACGGTAAGCCCATAAAGCATCATTCAATCTTAAAGACCAATCTTTACGATCTGGCTTAACCGTTTTCTCAAGAAATCTCTTAATTTCATGATTGGATAATTCAACTTGGCCACTTGTTTGGGGATGATAGGGAGAAGCAACTTTATGAGTGATGGAGTATCTTTGTACCAAAGTGCGGAAATACCTATTACAGAAGTAAGCATCTCCATCGCTAATAATAGCTCGTGGCATACCAAATCGACTAAAGATGTTCGTTTGAATGAACTCAATCAGAACAGCATGATCGGTAATTTTAGTAGCTACTACTTCAACCCATTTAGATACATAATCAATAGCCACATGAATATATTCATATTTATTGGACTGAACAAAAGGACCCATGAAATCAATACCCCAAACATCAAAAACCTCAATAATTAAGATTGGAGTCAAGGAAATCATATTTCTTCTAGAAATTGATCCCAGCTGCTGACATCTAAGGCATGACCTACAGAATAAATATGCATCCCGAAAGAGCGAAGGCCAAAAGAAATCACATTGAAGAATTTTAGCCACAATTTTCTTTGCACTGAAATGACCTCCACATGCCAAACTGTGATAGAAGGTCAGAATACTATGAAACTCACTCTCAGGAACGCATCTACGAATGATTTGATTAGCACAGTATTGGAATAGCTGGGGATCTTCCCAATAATACATTCTAATTTGGGAGAAGAATCGATCTTTTTCTTGCTTTGACCAAGACAAAGGAATTTTACCTATTGTGAGGTAATTCACAATATCAGCAAACCAAGGCAAATCCTTATAAGAAACCTCAAACAGTTATTCATCTAGAAAGGAATCACAAATTGGAAGTGAAGTTGAGGTATCCTCAATCAAAATTCTAGAAAGATGGTTAGCTACCACATTCTTTGACCCTTTCTTATTCCGGATTTTATAATCAAACTCTTGAAGCAAGAGGATCCATCGAATCAAATGGGGTTTGGTTTCCTTTATGGAAAGAAGATGATTCAAATTAGAATGATCAGAATAGACTAAGACTTTGGAACCAATAGATATGATCTGAACTTGTCCAAATCAAAGACAACTGCAAGCAAATCTTTTTCAGTTGAGGTATAATTCAATTGTGCATTTGAAAGAGTTTTGCTCGCATAGTAAATAACATGAGGAAGTTTATCTACTCGTTGTCCCAAGACAACACCCATAGTGTAATCAGATGCGTTACACATAATCTCAAATGGAAGAACCTAGTCCAGAGGATTCATTATAGGAGCCGAAGAAAGAAGACAGCGAAGCTTTTGGAAAGCGTCGAGGCATGATTCATCAAAGACAAAAGGAGCATCCTTTGCAAGTAAATTACACAAAGGACGGGAAATTTTGCTAAAATCCTTAATGAAGCGTCGATAGAACCTGGCGTGCCCAAGAAATAATTGCACTCCCCTTACGGAGGTAGGAGGAGGCAATTTAGAAATCAAATCTACTTTAGCTCTATCAACCTTAATACCTCTTTCTGAAATGATATGTTCTAAAATAATACCCACTTGAACCATAAAATGGTCTTCTCCTAACTAAGAATAAGATTGGTTTCCCTACAACGCTGAAGCACTAGGGAAAGAATTTGGAGACAGCTTTCGAATGTGGACCCGAAAATAGAGAAGTGGTCCATAAAGAATTCGAGAAACAATTCAAGTATGTCTGAAAAGATAGACATCATACACCTCTGGAATGTTGCTGGCGCATTACACAATCCGAAAGGCATCCATTTTATAAACAAATGTACCGAATGGACAAGTGAAAGTAGTTTTCTCTTGATCCTTAAGATCAATGGCCACCTGATTATAGCCAGAATATCCGTCCAAAAAGCAATAATAACTTTGGCTAGCCAATCGCTCTAGAATTTGATCAATGAATGGAAGTGGAAAATGATCTTTTCTAGTAGCGGAGTTGAGTTTCCGGTAATCAATACACACACGACATCCAGTGGTGGTGCGCTGTGGAACTAATTCTCCCTCGAAATTCTCAACTACTGTAATACTTATCTTTTTAGATACTACCTGAGTAGGACTCACCCATTTGCTATCTGAGATGAGGTAGATTATTCCCGCATCTAACAACTTCACAACTGCCTTCAAAACTTCACCTTAGGATTCAATCTTCGTTGGAGTTCTCGAAATGTTCGGGAATCCGCCTCCAAATGAATCTGATGCATACAAATGGTGGGACTAATTCCTTTTAAATCAGCCACACTCTACCCAATAGCCTCTTTATTTTGCTCAAGAACTTTTAAGAGACTACTTTCTTAGGAACTTGTAAAGATTGGAATCAATGATCACCGGGAGGGTGTCATTTAAACCCAAGAAAGCATACTTGAGCTTTTCCGGTAGTGGCTTAAGCTCAAGCTTAGGTGGAGACTTTAAAGAAGGAATGGGTGGAGTACTAGAAAGTGGTAGAAGAGGCTCTAACTTAGATTTTCATGGAGGAAAATCTGTAATAGGAGTGGAATTGAGCAAAGAATTCACTTTAGCTACTGAAGAATTGATATCAAACTCTTCATAATTAAAGTGATTCAGACAAGCTTCTAAAGGATCCTTGGATAAAATAGTTGGGAGTGATTCCTCAACCAACTCATCAATAACATCAAGGAAGAAGCATTCCCTATCATCGTGGGGATGATGAATAGCATTGAAGATGTTTAACTTAACTTTCATATTCCCAAAAGATAAATCCATGGTTCCGGTTCTATAGTTAATGCAAGCATTTGCTGTGGCTAAAAAGGGTCGCCCAAGAATGACTGGAATATACTTTTTGGAATCATGCACCGGTTCTGTATCAAGAAGTAGAAAATTGACCAAAAAATAGAACTTATCCACTTTTATGAGTACATCTTTAATAATACCTCATGGTTGTCTGACAGAACGGTCAGCAAGTTGTAGAACAACCAACGTAGGTTTTAACTTTCCCAAACCTAGCTTCTTATACACCGAGTATGGAATAAGATTTACACTTGCTCTAAGATCAAAAAGTTCTTGCTTTATCATATTGTTTCCAATGATGCAAGAAATTATAGGAGCACCAGGATTTATAACCTTAAGAGGAGTGTTATACTTAAGAATAACACTAACATGCTCAGTGAGACAAATTTTCTTAAGAACTTGGCTTCTGGATTTTCTCTTAAGAGTACACAAGTCCTTTAGAAATTTGGAGTAGGCTGGAATTTGTTTTATAGCATCAAGTAGAGGAAGATTGATTTTGACCTGTTTATAGACCTCCATCATATCTTGAATTTTCTCCCCTTGTTTACCAAAGTGGGAGGGTCCCTTCAGACATTTAGGATAAGGCACTTTTGGCTCATAAGCTGTCTCAGGGTTAGGAGTAGATGAAGAAGTGACTTCGCCTTCAACTCCTCTTGTGGATTGTGGAATAAAATTTGAGGAAACATCATTGGGATGTAGATTATGAATGATAGGAATAATGGGAATCCTAAGCCTTTCTTTTTCCTCCTGTCCTTTTTCAACTTGGTTATCAACCACTTTTCCACTCCTCAATGTAGTGATAGCCTGAACTTACTCACGATGAATACCGGAGGAATTAGTTTCATCAATCATGTAAGTCTGCCCTTTTGGGTTGGCTATTGGCTGACTAGGCAGCTTTCCATCATCTCTTCGAGATAATGTACTCGCTATTTGCCCAACTTGTGCCTCTAACTTTGCTATGGCTTAAGTATGAGAATTAAGATCAATAAGAGTATTGAGTACTTGTTCTTCAAAAGCAGAATTTCTAGGAGGAGGTGGAAGATTTAGAGCTTGAGTGGGTTGATTCCTAAACTGAGGTGGATGGTAAATACCAGATTGGTTGAAAGAATTATTTTGTGGCATAGGATTAGATGAATTTTGATACTGCCCCTATGACTGAGGAACAGTGCTTCCTTGATTTTGATTACGCCATAATAGATTGGGATGATCTCTCTAGCCAGGATTATATGTAGAAGAATATGAATTATAAGCTCTAGAGAATGCAGCATTCACTTGCTCTTGTGAGATCTCAGATGATTGTCCCAGCATAGGGCAAGTGTTAGCAAAATGATTAGGATTAATATAGATTGAACAAACTTATTTGGCAAGGCAGTTTGTGGATTAGCAACAGGAGTGTAGCTCGATGATAAGATTTGATCGAACCTACGGTTCACGGTTTTTATTTGAGAGGCTAACTCACTAGATTTATCTACCTCATAAAGTTTTTCAACCTTATGCATTCCAGATGAAGACCTAGACCTAGAGGAAGAAGCGTATTGCCCTGAGTTTTCACTTAGGGCTTCAAACAGTTCCCAAACGTCAGCCGGAATCTTATACAGAAAAGCTCCATTACTGGATGCATCTACCAAGTTTCTAAAAGAATCTGTAAGACTATCATAAAAAATATGTATTAAGTGCCATTGAGCAATATCATGGTGTGGACACTTTCTTAGAAGATCATTATATCTTTCCCATACATCAAGGAGCTGTTCCCCATGTATTTGGGAAAAGGCCAGGATTTCTTTTCTCATTTGTGTGGTTTTACCCACAGTGTAGTTTTCTTCAAAAACTCATGTTGCAACATGTGCCATGCAGATATGGAATTTGTTAGAAGGGACTGCAACCAAGTTCTTGCTTTATCCTTTAGAGAGAATTGGAAAAGACACATTCTAAATGAATCATTGGTAAGAGTGGTTAACTTGGTAGTTGAACACAATTCCAAAAACACATCCAAGTGCTTATAAGGATCCTCTATTGAAAACCCATGGAAGGTAGGAAGCATTTGGATCATAGCAGGCTTAATCTCAAAATGGGTTGCATCAATATCCGAAAAAATAAAGCACGAAGGGGAAGTGTATGCGGTAGGAATAAAATGATACCTCAATTGTGGTTGTGGTAGAGGAACAAGTGGATCCCGTTCTCCATTACCATTACCATTATTACCTGGTGCGTTACGTTGATCAGCCTTATTATCAGAGGAACTTCCTATAGAATTCAAATGTCCTTTAAGCTTTCTTAACTGTTTAAGAGTTCTCTCTATTTCAGGATCATATACTAAAGTTTTTAACCTAGTTTGGCGAGTTAGCATGCATTCATTCCACTAATCCAAAACAGTGATAAAAATAAAGTATTCCAAGCAACAGAAAAAACAATAAAAACTCACAAAAGGTTTAATAAACCGAAGTTTGTTATCCCTTAAGCGTCTTTGTCCTCACTGCTACTTCTTTGTACCTGCAAAGAAAAAGAATTAAGGTGAGATATCAGAAAGTCCGAAGATTGGTAAACCAAAATAAACTAATTAAAAACTAAATTAAAAACTAATCTCCCCAGAAACGGCGCCAAAAATTTATTGTGTCTAATTTTACCACTCGTAATAGGACGATTCCGTGTAGAATAGTGCTATAGAAAAAGGTGTCGAACCCACTAGGAGATGAGATTTATATTAGTCTTTGATTTTGTGACGACCCTGATTTTTAGGCTAGCGTGTCCTATGATGAACCGTAAGGATGATCCGATAACGGATCCGAATGTGGAAGCGAAAACAGAAAACAAGACTCTAAGAAGTCAAAGTGACCTTCCATAAAGTCGTGGAATTCAGCAAGAACTGATGCGGAAGCAAAAGATAAAAAATATGACAAATAAGCCCCCAGGGGCAAAATAGTCATTTCTGAAAACTGTAGATTCGGGTGCCACCGAGCACACCGCTAGAAGGACAACAAAAAACTAATCAAGATGGACTCAAGAATCGCATGATTCGGAATCCAGACGAAGGAGAAACGGCATGATGAAGAAAAACGAGCACTTAAGGCAAAAAGGGTAAACTGGCAATTATCCAGGAAGAACTGGGTGCAACCGAGCACACCGTTAGAAAGACAGCAAAAAATTAGTCAAGTTCAAAAAAAAAATTCACTTGAATCGGAGTCCGAACGAAGGAGAAAAGCCTAAAAGAATAATTGACGTCGCGGCGGCCCGACGAGGGACCATGACAGCCCCATGCGCACGCCCATGCACGCCGCGCACGCGCTGAGTGCACTAAGGCTGGCAGCAGCCCATAAAGCTGCTGTGTGGGTTTTTTTTTTCAGAAAAATCCATAACAGAGGCTGAATTTGGAGGCCTAGATGAATTTTTTTGCAAAAACACAAAGAAGAAACCCCCCTCAAAATTGAGTTTTCTGCGTGACTCACAAAAGAATTAAAAAGAAAATGCAATGTAGAATACCCGAAATGCACCTCCATGAAATCTGGTCATGGAGGTCCAAAAAGCTGCTAAATTGAAAAACTGAGAACTGAACTTCGTAAGCGATTTCCGATATCAAGACGACATTTTCTAGAAAAACACGGAAAAGAAACCCCCCCTAAAATCATGTTTTCTATTCAACCATATTGAAAGAAGAAAATAAAACCACCATGAAAAGTCTATAGTGCCCCTAGATCAGAATATGCAAAAAAAAGTGAGAAATGAATTCACAAGAGGCTTAAGACACAAACAGCCCGGAAACGACCATGCACACAAACGTAACTTACCTATTTGAACGTGCTACAATGGTTCATGACTTAAAAATACCACCGATACAAAATCCGACCTCCCAACGGGCAAAAAGGCAAAAATGGAACTTGGAATGAAAACTCATAATCCAAAAATACAAAACGGGGTCAAATGACCGTTTGGCCATTGGCCACACTTCACACATGATTTATAAGACCCTAGAAAAGAATGAAATCAGAATTCCCACACCCGATGTAACTATGGTGAACCAATGACTTGTGATTTTTTAAGGTTTTCATAGCATTTCAAGAAATCAAAAGATACATAGGATACAATATACATGTCATTGGCCTCCGGCCTCATCTCATACATGTCAAATACATTGTAAAGAGTATAGTTATGTACACATTACATAAATGGAATCAAAGAATACAAATTTTACATATAAGTCTACAAAATGACATTTCTTGCTAACATTTGCATGAAATGGAAACTTGAAAGCTACACAACATCCAAGGAATTCTAGGCTTCACGAACCAAGTCTTCGTACCTGAAATATACCCCAGTATCGTAGGGGTGAGTAACATAAAGCTACTCGTAGGAGATGAGCAAACATCAACCTAGCATTTTACAAATTTATCACCTTAAGGTGAAACATGTTAAAGGGGTTCATGCCACCTAACGTCTATATCGAAATGAGACTCAGGGACCATCCTAAGCTACCTTAGAATGTTTCTAGCATAAATCATATCATCTATGCCATTGAAACAATATGGAAGCACATTATACAAAGCAAGAAGACATAGGTTCTTAAAGGTATTAACTTGCAATCTCGAATAGAGAAACAACTAAAGTGATCATGTCCCTAACGTCTATGTTATAAATAAGTCTAAGGAATCATCCTAGGCCATGCTGAACAATCAAAAAGTAAATTACAACTTCAATGCAATCTAACCACATAAAAGCATATTATACAAGGCAACAAAATACAATTTCTTAAAGCTATCAGCTTGAAATCTAAAGCACGAAAACAATAGAAGTGGGTCATGCCACCTAACGTTTAAGTTATAAATGAATCAATAGGATCAATCCTAAGCTTTGTTAGAACGTCAAAACACAATTTTCAATATCGATGCAATTTAGCTAACATTGGAACTTCCAATACAATGCATAAAGCACAATTTCGCAATGTTAACATCATGTAACTTAAAATGGAACGACAAATAAGAAACAATAAGTTACAACATCATCTAGTTATCAAGTTGAAAATGAAATGCGAAATCAAACAAAGTGGATACCTGGACGTCACGCTGGATCAGACCGACAACATAGTTACTTTAGGGTTACTAGCCCATAGGTAACCTCCCTATGTGCGCACTAGACTATATAGAGGGACTATCCCCCGTACTAGAACCACGTCCTAGCTATAGTCAAACAACGACATCCCCAAGTTTCCAAAATCAACAAGTTGTGCAACAACGCATATATCAACAGGAATATGCAAGATAATTAACTATCTACCAAGCACAACCAAATTTGGAAACCTATACAATACATACTCTAAGTCCACAACTAATATGATGTGATGAATGTCGAGTCTTCAGTGTGCGATTCGTTACACGCTATGCATGAATGATGTTAAATACGAAATGTGCAAATCATTACACAAGGCAACAATATATTCAATAAGGAAGACATATTCTCATGAGTATAAACATAGCAACTATGTTATCTAATGCTCAAAACATAACCAAATGAATATACAACAAGTCCATGTCCAAGATTTTGATATAGAAACGCCTTTCAAACACAATTAAATCCATGACTCAATTCGATAGAATTTAATTAAATAAAAATAATTAAATTCCCTAGATTCTAATTCAATTCCAAATAACCTCAAATTAATACATATTAAACAACATGGCATGGTCATCACCTATATCCATTTTAAAACTCAATTAGGTTATTGGAACAACAAAGTAGAACTCTAATTAAATCAAACTAATTTAATTACCAAGGTTCTAAAGCAACTTGAAATGGTCCACAATTAATATATACTAGGAAACAAGTCATGGCCAATACAAATATCAAGTTAAAATCTTAATTAAGCTAATGGGACCACAAAATAGATTTTAATTAATTCTTTTAATTAAAATCTCTAGATTTTCAAACTTAACCAAATGCTCTCAATTTAACATATCTTAGAGAACATGCCAAGGACTAATGTAATATCACATTACAAGCTTATTTCATGTAAGTTACACCTATGTAAATTAAACTTTCACTAAAGTTAAATATAAAATAAAGGTTGCAATTCTCATGCAATTAATCCCAATTTAATATATGTGAACAACCACATCAAAGCTTAATTTTCTAGCATGCCACAATTCAATTCCAAGTTGTATATCACCATGAGGATTAAATCTTAAATAAGGAAATTAATTAAATGAAAGGTTTCAAAACCTCACCGAATATTCTAAATCAAATATATGTGAAGCTATATGGCATGTAGATCAAGAATATCAAGTCGGAATTTAAATGGAGTGAATAGTGCACTCGGAGCAAATTAATTAATCAAATTAATTAATAATTACTAATTTTCAAAACACCTCCAATCACTTTCAAATTCAACTATGTTGGAGAGCATGCTAAGGCCTAATTTAATATGCTAACACATATTGATTTCAAGCTATTTAAGGCCATGTGAATTAATCTTTCACCTAAGATAAATATTAAATAAAATCTTTAATACTTATTCAAATGTTCCAATTTTAATACACGACAATGAGCATATCAAGGGGCAATATAAAATCATGCTACATGTTTAAACCAAGTCACGAGCAACCGAGAAAATTAGATCCCGTACAAGAAAAATAAATAATAAAATCTCTAGATTTTATATTTAATCATGCAAACAAGTAGAATAAGCATCACAAGCATGCTATATAACAAGAATTTAAACCTAGAACATCCCCTACCTCAATTTGAGATGAAAATCCCAAAGGCCCACCAAAATAAAAGTGCTCCAAATTCTACGATACCGAGAGG